CAATATGTTTTCTATTTACTCCAAAAGTATTTTCCCAGCCCTGAAAGAAATGTGGACTCTATGGGCAAAAAAGTAAAAAATCCCATTTTTGGGATTTTCATTCCTATTTTTGAGAATTGCGGGATGCCCTTTGACCTTTTCAATTTTTTTTTTGCATTTTCTTATTTGAAATGACAAATTTAACAAGCGTTGAAAATTTCATTGAGTTTTGTTCATAAATAAAGATTTTGTCATATATTACATATTTGTTTAATTTCTAAAACTATGATTTATATCAAAATTTTAATAGGGTCGCAGATAGCTACAACAATTTAGTCCATATTTATCCCTTAATATCATTTTTTAGTTAGATATGGAAATTCTCGACCCTTTACAAAAAATTTCAAGCCAATATCTCAATTACATTCAAAAATATGTTCATTTAAACCTGTGTCCTTTAATTTCATCTTTTTCATATTTTAGTATTAAGTATGACAGAACATATATTTGGTGTTGAATAAAATATTTGGACAATTTTAAAAAATGATTTAGTTAATTATTTTATTAAAAACTATAACATTGTATATACAATAAAAAAATTATAATTTTATTATGAGCCACGCACAACAACACCTAAATCACCCCACACAAACCACCTTTCCCTTCCACCGAAACATAAAACACAATTTAATACAATATCATCAGTTAGTATAATAGCTATTTTTATTTGAACTGTTTATCTTAAACATAATACAATTAATTCTTACAACCTACTTATATAGTTAATTCCTAACACTACTTATTTTCAATAAAATAATCTGTCATATCGGTATACATATCCAGAAGGTAATATAAGTCCTTTAAATCTTCCTTGTTTTGAGATGATAGAGTTTCATAAAAAATCCATCTTTTTCGCGTAGTTGAAAGAACAGGATCAGAAAATAGAAATAAACTATTAAAAATATCTTCATTCTGTCATTGCCTGAAGCATTTTCTTGAGCTGAATAGTTGAACATGCTTAAAATCTCGATTCCTCGCTTCCTGGGCTTCTTCTGTTAACTCTCCAAGTGGAAGAATATTCGATTCAATTATTATTTGACCATGACACAATACTTTGTGTACTGTTGGTGTTAGTTCCCTCCATGTATACAGAGATACAAGTAATTTAGAAATTTCAGATGTATATTCCCCAAATCGATTTCCATTAATTTTATGTTTACTATTCAGTGCCTATCGCACTGAAGCAACTCCTTGTCGATTCCAGTTATTTTTGAAGTAATTTCAAAATCACGAAAAAACCTTCTCGCCGTATTACCGTCATTTGTACTACCGCAACTTGGAAGTGGTTTGTCGATGTTTAATCCCATCTGAACTTTAAATTCTTCTTGGATTCTGCTTTTTTCCGCAGCTCTCAGTTCTTTCAATTCTTTTGTTGTTTTCTTTGACTCCTTTATATATTCAAATCCAATGGGTCTACAAAAATTTTTTGAACCCGGAGTTGTATTGATCCATATATCTTCAAGTGAATTTCCGATGCTTGACGATGATGGATTAAGGGAATATGAACGAATTCGTAATGGCACTAATGAGCTTGTTTGTATTCTGGAAGTGCTGATAAACCGTCACATCCCCACTTACACATTAAGACAACATCACAGTTATGAATTTTCCTTAGTTGGTCTTCTGAAAAGTCTGACACAATTCTTGATGCTGTGTTTTCGAGCAAAGATGATATATCAATACAAGCTTCCACATCATTAACAGCAATAGGTGATGGTAGGATAGTTTGTTTTTTTTCCTGGATCGCCTTGTATGATGGTAATATATTGTGTCCTTTTTCATGCAGAGCTTTCCTTAATATTTGGTACTTATTTCGACTGAGACCCAGTTCCAACATAAGCGCTATTGCTTCCTCTTCAGTAAAATTTGATTGTGATGTTGGAGTTGGTATACTTTCCACAATTCGCTTAAGTCGTTTTGGTGATGCATTAGGAAGAATAGTTGCAATATGTACGGCATCCATAGGTTGGTTTTCCTTTTTCAGCATTTCGTTAAATGTATCAGCAATTTCCTCATTTGAGATTGAAAAAAGTTTTTGTGTGACCCTCTTTTTTTTGACCTTGAACATAAGTCTTCGTATGACTTGCAAGGCGCTCCTGTTGATGTGTTGTAAGTTGAGATTTCCGTAGTAGTTTCCATCCAACTTCAAAATTTTAATCGAAATTTCTTTTGATTTCCATCCACAGACTTACTTTTTACATCAAAAAGTTTTAAAAAGTTTTCAATTTTTGATATGCCTGTTTTGTCTACTTTTCTACTATATGTAGTTTTTATATAATTTGAAATGTATTCAATTCTTTCTGGCCCTTTTGAAGATACACTCCATAAAACGGAACACAACTCTTCGTACTTTAATGTAATCTTCATTGTAGATTTATCAAATATGGTACTTAAAATCTAAGAAGTTTACCAATTCTTGTCATTTCCGATACAGGTATTCCAAAGTAAAAAATTACGAATTGTCTACCTATTAACATTTAGGACTATATTACTATAACCTGTAATTCAGTCATTGATATTTCTTATTAGTGAATGAATCGGAATTAAACGAAACAGAACGAAATGATCTGTCGAAAAAATTTAGATAAAAAATAGTTATAAATTTTTGAAAATTTAAGCATAATAGGAACTTTCAATTATAAGGATAAGCAAACAAATAGAAAATAGGTAAATATAAGATTTAAATATGTTCTGTCATATTTAATACTAAAATATGAAAAAGATGAAATTAAAGGACACAGGTTTAAATGAACATATTTTTGGATGTAATTGAGATATTGGCTTAAAATTTTTTGTAAAGGGTCGAGAATTTCCATATCTAACTAAAAAATGGTATTAAGGGATAAATATGGACTAAATTGTTGTAGCTATCTGCGACCCTATTAAAATTTTGATATAAATCATAGTTTTAGAAATTAAACAAATATGTAATATATGACAAAATCTTTATTTATGAACAAAACTCAATGAAATTTTCAACGCTTGTTAAATTTGTCATTTCAAATAAGAAATGCAAAAAAAAATTGAAAAGGTCAAAGGGCATCCCGCAATTCTCAAAAATAGGAATGAAAATCCCAAAAATGGGATTTTTTACTTTTTTGCCCATAGGGTCCACATTTCTTTCAGGGCTGGGAAAATACTTTTGGAGTAAATAGAAAACATATTGAGGTTTCCAAAACTGCTTTCAGTTTTCTGATCCCAGCTTTGGGATTTTAGAACATGTCGCCCAAAGTTGAAGTTTTGATAAAAAATAGGTCATATTTGGAAGGACGCAGTGGCAACATTTTCAAAAAATAGGACAAGTTTTTTACGCCAAAGCGTTCTGCGTAAAGATACCTTTTAGAAAACTATAAAATCGTTATATGTTCTTAAATAAAATTTTATTTTATTAATAAAAGAGTTAAGACACATTTTTTGGCAAAAAAAGGCAAAAATCTAAAATTTTTTGAATTTTTAAATTAAAAAACGTATATTTTTGGATCTGTAAATGATATTGATCTGAAATTTTTTGTATATTATTGGAAATTTTGTTGTCTAACTAACAAGAAAAAATTGAGTCTATTTGGTCCAAAATTACGCCCGGTATTCAAAAAAAGGCGGACCAAGGTATGGTAAATTTTGTATCACTAAATTTTTAAATGCCTATAACTCGGATATTATAAGAGATAAGTAGTATGTCCAAGCATGTTTTTTCAAGATCTCGTCGAGCGCTTTCACAAAATATAAAAATCTTTGTATTTGGATGAAAAACAAAAAAATGGCACGAGTTTAAAAATTTTACATGTCGTAGGTACCCTACTTTGAGCCGCCACAGCGCCGTCCCTGGGGCATCTGCAGGGTTCATCTTCAAAACTTAAACTCGAATACTCCTTGGCTACGCTCACGCCAAATTTTATCCCGATCGGATCAGCCGTTTAGAAATGCCAGATTTATTTCCAAAAAATTTCCATTCTGCCCCACTGTGGGGTGCTGTGTGAATTCAACACCTTGGTGAGAAATATTATTGTGTCAAAATACTTAAAATCTCTACTTACATTTTCGAATTAATAGCGGGTTCTACGCTATATTTCACCTACTTTTACGAAATTTTTTCTTTAAAATTCCGTTTATTTTGAGCAAATTGAAAATTTTATTTTTTATTTATTATTGACATTTATTTTTTGTTGTGGTAGAATTTTAATTTAGAAGCAGAGTTACATTTTTTCTATTGAAAATTCAAACAAATAAAATTTTATGAATTTTTATAAAACTCTGTATGTCTGGAAAAATTTTAAATGCTCAAATACATGTACATTTTTGTTACTAATACCAAACTATAACACTAATACAAATTTAGAGTTAGGTACTTTTTCACTAACACATGCTTAGAGTTAGGTACTGCTGTCAAAGAGTCGGACTACTTGTTATACTTTGGGTTATACCTTTATTTTTTTCTACTATGGTGTGTATGATATAAAAATACGTTTGTTACATTATTTTAACAAATTAAGTAATACGTTTTCTAGTTTTATGTAATTTTATTTTTAGTTGTCTCCAACAAATGAAAATAAACAGAGACGACACTCATTCATTCCTAATTCTTAGCTAAATCAAACTGGATAACGTACAGCTTGTGTAATTCGCAGCTGAAATTTTGTATGGCAAATCATGTAATTCAGTTCTTAATTGGGGGAAAGTGTTACAATTTTATTTGAATTTGTAAATGACCGTTAATATAACATTTGGAATGGTAACACTATGCACAGGCTTATCGTTATACAATTATTTTGGTTTCTAACAACCTAAGGTTATTGAGGTTTATTTTAAAAAAATCATAACACGTATCCTTCATAACACGTAATATACATATACTTATTCCAAAAAATAATTAGACAACCCCAACAAAAATAACTGAGAATTTTTAAAATGTAAAATTGTTAACCTGTAAATTATGATGAAAAATAATAAAATGTAACAAAAAATTTATATTTCACTATTTTATTCTTGGATGTATACTTATTTGAATTAAAAAATATAAATTTACTTTCCACCTTTTTTGAAAATGATTTATCAATAGAAAGCAATTTTTAAAACTTATTGATTCTCTGTAAGTATTATAAAAAATGTGTATAATATTTGATGTTGTCCAGCTTAACAATTTAAGCCGGAGTTATTTATATTAACGTTTCCACCCAGCTGGTTGTGCGCCAATAATAAAATGTCCTTTTTTTCTTTTGGGAATCTTAATTCCCGTCCTGCTAGTCTAGCTGTATCTAACTCCCTCTCCGCTTGTGCTAATTCATGACCTAGAGCGCCAGGATTTTCTTGCTCTCGAGCAATCCAATCCAAAGCCATCTGTGCGCGCATATCGTCATCAAGACTTCTATTTGAATAATGCGCCACTACCTCTTGACGTGAGCACTGACGTTCTCGCATAGCTTTGAGTGAACCATTCCAGTGTAATAGTTGAAAAACTGTCATGAGCTCCTGAAACTCCAACATAGTACGACCTTTATTGGATTCTAGCATAAATCTATAAACATAAAAATTATACTAACATAAAAATTATCTATAACACCGTCCGACACTCGAAATTAGACACGAACCAGAAGATATAAATTTGACACAAGAGATTAAAAGAAGAAAAACTGCGTTCACAGTTTTTTATTTCGTGATCCTGTTTCCTTGCAAAAAATTGGTGTCAAATGACCAAGAAGAAGTTGTAAAATATTTTGTGTTATTTTTATTTTATTCTGTCAGGGTCAAAAGATGTCAAAAAAGCGCTTCAAATTTTTTTCTGTCAGTATAAAATAAAAATAATACAAAATATTTCCCAATTCTTCTTGTTCTTTCGACATCAAATTTGGCATTGTTTGATCAGTAGAAGTATTTTAAAATATTTTTTGAAAAATGTACTTCATTAAAAGTTTGAATTCCTTTAAAAATGACACAGGATCACGAAATGAAAAACTAAAAACGTAAACGTATATCATTCGGTTCTGTCTAACGATTTTTTCTCTCTTTGTCGGACGGTGTAATTATAAAATTAAACTAAAACCGTAATAAATACGATATTTGAACGGTATCAATTACCTAAAGGCTCCAATGCCAGTATCTGGTGCATCATTTTCTTTTAAATTTCCTTTAAATGAGGTCCAGGCATCCTGAACTGCCTTTTCAATAAATTCATCTGTTATTCTTCGAGAAGGGTGTTCATTGAATACAGAGTTCATTAAGGCAATTTTAGCAGAGCTTCTTCTAGCTTCTGCTTTTGTCGGACAATTCTATGTGTATATATATATAAGTATTTGTATTTAACAAGTTTTATAAAAGTTATTACCTGAAAACTTCCGAAGCAACTTCCTCCCGGTAAAGTTACATAGCAAACATAGGGTTGACTGTTTGATGGAACAGATTCATATATGACAAGTGCTCCATTCTTTAAATCAGCCCCTCGTGCAAGTTTTATTTGCCAAAACTCTTGTAAAGCTTCAACAACATTAACTAAAAAAAAATATTTCAATTAAGCTTTGCATTTTCAAATCTGGAAGATACGCAAAGTAGTTTTTGCTAAGATAAACGAATCAGGTTTTAGTGCAAAATTGTTTTTTAAAATATTGATTCTTTAAATTGATTTAGTATTCACCTCGATAGTCATTGTCATCATATAATCCTGGTACAGTTGGTAACGCCCAAAAAGGCTCATCAGGGTACACCATCATTATATTGTTGTTACATTTATTCCTATAGTCCGTAAGCTCAATCTTTCAATTTTGAATTATTATCTAAAAAATTGTTTAATTGAACAATTTTATTCTTTACATGATTTTTAAAACTATGTACATTAGGGTGGCCCCAAAATCAACTGGCTTATGTTCCCACCGAAAATGAAAATTTAGTTCATTCTAAGATACCATTTCTCAAAATTTTTGTCCTGACGTCAATATTTGGTGAGCTGGATCAAAGGATAAAAAGGTAATTTTTTAAGGTTTTTATGACTTTTATCATATTTCTTGCAAAAAACGAAGTTGCGAATTTTGACCGCCCCCCCTCTAGAATTGTTCTTTGTTTGTAAAACTATGTGATACAAAACATTAGGGTGATAGGATAACGTTAACAGGTGCAGCAACGGCTCTAAAGTTTTCAAGTGCATTAACAAGAAGAAAATACCGATTTTTCAGTTTTTACTCGAATATTAGTTTTGCCCTTATAAGATAACACAAACTTTTTCTCAGCTATGGTCATAAAGGTTTGATTTTTTCAACGGGCGTTTCAAATCTCCAATTTCAGTTTTTTTGAATCTTTATTAAACAAATTTCAAAATTTTTAGGAGATCTCATGGGGATTTATGGCCAACAGATGAGGCTATTAAATGGTAAAAAATTAGATTAATATTTCTTACAGTTTAGCTGTACCTGCGATTTGAACTCGGCGGATTTCGAGAAAATCGAATTTTTTGTAATATTTTAGAGAATACGTATTAATTCTTTACTGTTGCAAATTTTAAATAAAGTATTATCGTATAGCCTTATCTAGTTGCAAAAAAAAAACTGAAATTGGAGATTTGAAACGGCCGTTGAAAAAATCAAACTTTTTTGACCATAGCTGAGAACGAGTTAGCGTTATCTTATAAGGGCAAAAACTAATATTCGAGTAATTATAGATATATTGTAACAAAATGATTTTTTTTAGAATATATCCCAAAAAAAGTATTTTTTTTTGTCACATTTCGAATTTATGTGCTGTGTTAATGGCCTGGGGAATTTGCAATAACTTTAAAAGTTTTCAAGCAATTTTTGTGTTTTATATCTTTCCGAAATGCTTACTCTGTGCACATTACGATTCCTTTACAATAATAGTTAAAAATTTATGACTAAATGGCCAAATTTGGGCAAAAACTGAAAAAGTCGATATTTTCCCCTTGTAAATGCACTTGGAAACTTCAGAGTCGTTGCGGCACATGTTAACGTTATCCAATCAGCCTAATTTTTTTTATGACATAGTTTTACAGTCCATAGAACAATTCTAGAGGGGGGACGGTCTGTCAGACAAATTTTTTTTTCCTTCATACAAGCTTGACTCACTCTAATGTACATCCGTATACGCGCAATTTCATTAGTTTTACATTGGTATATAACACTTTCTATAATAGGTAAAATTTTTCAATTTAACTAAAATAAGAACACAATTTATCCTAAGCATCTACTTGTTCGTTATACTTGCTTTGTTAATAACGGTTTGTATGTTGTTTATATTATTTTGCAATGTTTTAAATAAACTTCGATCTAGATTGAATTTTGAAAAACGGAAAAAAACGTTTCCTTTGATTATGATGTATTAATTACACAAAAATTTCTGATATGGAACTTCTTCCGTTGGAAGAAATATGAAAAAAATCATAAAAACCTCAAGGACCTTGTGATGTCCCTAATTAATGTTATCTATATGGTAATTTAGATTACAAATAATTGACATCATTCTTTTCTATGTTTTTAATATTTAAATGTTGACATGCAATCATATAAATATATTCCGCCATATCTTATTACATTACATTTTTATCTGTTGTATATGTAACAAGCGTAATATCTGTTCTTTTTATATTTTTTAATACTTTTTGAATAAAATGTAATTTCTAACTATTACCAAAACGCGTTTATCAATTATCGAAAATATAACAATTGGCGACGAGGATAAACAAAAAAAAAAAAAAATATATATATATATATATATATATGTCAATGTATAACCTCAATTATAATTTCTAAAGTGCACCATGAACGAAATGGAGAAATAGATCGATGCGCATGGTCAAGCCATGCAGGACCAACACAAGCAAATGTTACCAGCGTTAACGTTATATAAAATTTTGATCCTTTCGACTTAAAGCTAGAGACATTTGATATATACAAAGAACGACTAGAAATCCATTTTCAGTTAAAAGGAGTGTTCGCAAGTAAATATATGTGTGCAAAACTTATTTTACAATATGTAGGCTCATCAAATTATTCGCTATTGTTAACATTGGCTGCACCAAAGAACATAAATGATCTAAAATATGAAGAAATTGTAAAACTTTTTCAAGGCCACTTCTGCCCCAAGAAAAATATTTTTGTAGAACAACATAAATTTCTAAATGAAGTTCAAAATGAGGACCAAAGTATTTCAGACTTTGTTGCTGTTTTGCAGAAAAGAGCAGCGGTATGTGGTTTCGTGTGCTCGTATAATAAATCCGTGGCTGATATTTTTTCCCGTGCACAGTTCATAAGAGGTATTAGAGATAATGCAATTCGAGAACAATTATTGCAAAATACAGATGTTTCTTTCATGCAAATCGTCGAGAAAGCAAAAGTATTGGAAGCAGCAAAAATCAATAACAATTAAATAATAAATAATCCATCTACTAGTGATGTGAATCAAATCAAACAACAATTTTCACAAAAGATATCGGGTACTCAAAACAAAAAACGTAATCGTTCTCCAGCTAAAGTTAATTATCGAAAACTTGGTTTAGAAGGTTTGTGTCTACGCTGCGGACGAAATAATCTGGAGCCGGCTATACATTAATTCCAAAAAACGATTTTGATAAATTAAACTTAAATGTAAAAATGCAAAAGACAAAAATAGCTTTTCGAGCTTATACTGGTGATATTTTCGTGCCACTAGGAGTCGTAGAAGTGAACGTCAGTTTTAAAGATAAACAATCAAAAGAACAAATGTTTGTAGTTGAATGCCAACATTCACCCCTGCTTGGGCGGTTGTGGATACGTCAACTTAAGATTGATTTAAATGAAGTATATCGTGATCATCAAAAGGTAAATAAAAATTCAGACAATGCAGCAGTAAAATCAATATCAGAAATAACTCAAAAATATTCTGAAATTTTTCAACAGAAGGTAGGATGTATTCCAGATTTATTGTGTTCATTAAAATTACTTGAACTGGAACAGCTCATTACCCTATTAAAAGAATTTATGAAATATTCAACACTTTAAAGAATTCCAAATATTTTTGCAAGCTTGACCTTTTCAAAGCATATTTGCATGTAGCTGTGGATGATGATAGCAAGCAGATTCAAACGATATCAACTCACAGAGGTACGTATCAAATGAACCGATTATCATTTGGTATAAAAACAGCTCCAAGCGAATTTAATCGTATATTGGATCAAATTTTACAAGGCCTTGAGGGAACAATTTCCTATTTTGACGATATAATCGTGCATGGTTCAACCAAAGCCGTATGTGAACAAAGGCTTATCAATTGTTTCGAAAGACTTCAGAAATATCATTTACATGTTAACAAGGATAAATGCGAATATTTCAAAGAGCAAATCCAATATTTGGGCTATGTCATTAGTCATAATGCGATTTCTAAATGTCCTTCAAAAACCGAAGCTATGTCAAACCTTCCACGCCCAGAAAATGTTGATGATGTCAGGAGATTCTTGGGAATGGTTACGTATTATGCTCGGTTCATTCCAGATATGGCAACATTGACATTCCCATTACGAAAGTTATTGCAAAAAGGAGGCACATTTTTTTGGTCTAGAAAATGTGAAGAAGCTGAAGCAAGAAATTTTAAACGACAGAGTTTTAGTACCTTATAATAAAAGCCTACCATTAACATTGACCTGTGATGCAAGTCCAACAGGGGTAGCGGCAGTGCTTTCCCATGTCATCGATAATGTAGAACGTCCTATAGCCTTTATTTCGTGATCTTTGACAAAAGCTGAACAAAATTATGGTCAGCTCGACAGGGAAGCACTTGCAATTATATTTGCTGTCGAAAAATTATTTATGTATTTGTACGGAAGAGAATTTACTCTTATTACTGATAATCGTCCCCTGTCGAGAATTTTTCACCAGAACGCCAAAACACCAGCCATGACGTCAGCAAGATTACTTCGGTACGCATCTTTTCTACAAGGGTTTAATTACAAAATTGAACATAAAAAGCGGAAAATATACCACATGTCGATTGTTTGTCTAGGGCTCCATTAAGAAATACCTCAAAATTTAATCATTTTCTCGATATAGAGACACAAATTATTCAAGACCAAACTATAAATGAAATTCCGACGTTTTCAATTACAGCCACAACGATTGCAAAAGAAACGGAACGTGATCAAGAATATTTCAATTTATAAAAATCATTATTAAAGGGACGCAATTCTTACCCTGAGTACTCAATACAAAGTGGAATTTTGTTCAAAGGAAATCGTGTAATGATTCCTTCAAGCTTGAGAGAACAAATTCTTAGAGAATTACACCATACGCATGTTGGTATTGAAAGGATGAAACAGCTAGCCAGAAAATGTTGTTACTGGAAAAATATTGATACTGACATAGAACGCCTTGTAAGATCTTGCCAAAATTGTGCCATGGTAAAGAAAAATCCACCATAGGTTGAAACACACCAATGGGAGGAACCGACCCAGAATTTTCAAAGAGTACACATTGATTATGCGGGACCTTTTCAAAATCATCATTTTTTCGTTTTGGTCGATGCAAAATCAAAATGGCCGGAAATCCGCATAATAAAGTAGCGTCCAACGTCTGAAAAAACTATATATTTGCTACAAAACATTTTCGCAACTCATGGCCTTCCTGAAATTATAGTGTCGGACAATGCCACAATATTTCAAAGCGGTATGTTCAGATCGTTCTGTACAGATCACGGACGTGAAAGACACGTCCAGACTCTCGAAAGAAAATTAAAATCAATGGAAGATGAAAATATGCCACTGCACACAAAAATACAACAAATTGTTTCGAGATATAGA